TCTCACCACGGAATACGGGCCGGGATTGGCGCAGAGGAAGAGCACCCGCTTCGCGATCACGAGGTGGTGGGTTCGATTCCCAGCCAAAGGTAGGAACTTTCTTCAATATCTTATTGATACGAATTGAATATTTTCAAGTTTCGTAGCATCGACTTGGGATAGACTTGCACGATTCGCTGTTGCGTTCCAATTGCTAGTGCTGCTCCTAAAGTTGCGCATGAAGTTAGTGACAAAGCCTACACATAACACGTGGAAAGATATGATTATGTGATTGTGATCATCAGCGGAGGAGTAGGACGATGTATATTTAGGTGGGTGTGATAAAATACCAGCTGAGCGTGAGAGCGGGCCAATGCTGATTAGTGGACCTCGGTCTCTAACGGGTATTGACGAGTTAGCAGAAAGGGCTGCCAATGCAGCCTACAAAACACAGCCGAGAAACTCTGAAAGAGAGCTAATGGACGGTATCTGAGGAGGATGTTAGCCAGCTCTGTTAAGCGAACCACAACCCCCATTGAAAATACCTTGGGGCTTGCAGAAAGGTCCCATTGGAGAATAGTTGCGAAATTGCAAACGTTCCCCACGAGTACCAGTACCAGTGACACGAAAAACGTTGAGAATAGGAAAAATCTTTCGTTGTGGAACTAATCACGGATAGCTCAAATATTTCCACACGGCATCCTGGTAAAATTCACCGCACTAATATATTCATTGAAACACCATAGAAGGAGTAATCCATACTTCGACCCGCTAGTAAATATGATTTTGTGATTCTCACCACCCTAACAACACCAGTAAATCCTAGGGACTTTCCAGGGACGTCCCTGATTTTATACTAGGACATCCCAGGGATGTCCTTTGTCGGGACAACGTACATACTAGGGATGTCCCAGGGGCATTCGCTGGCCGCAAAAAAAGGCATCCCAGGGACGTACCAGGAGGACGTCCCTTGGATGCCTGTTTTTACCTAGTACGAAGAAAGGATATCCCTAGGACGTCCCAAGGATATCCTAGGGACATCTCTTCGACAAAAAATGGTCGAATAGGGATAGAACCCGGGACCTTTAGCTTATCAGGCACGCAACTCACTCCATTGGCTATTATGCCTCCTGAAGATTTATGTACTAAACAGATTCATAAACAGGACTTAACTACAGAAACCTGAATAGATACATTTTTGCTAGGATTTGAGTATGATTATTATCATTCTTGGGTTTTTAAAAATGAGGGGCATTATGCATGTACGATTTCTGTTTGCGAAAAATGGTCATTTCTTGAGAAGTACTGAGACTTCATTCTTCATTTTCAATATAATCATTTTCCGGAAGAAAAACCAAACATTTTCAAAAAAATTCAACTCAATAAATTGATGAAATTCAATGACTCTGATGTGAATGGATATCAGATAATCCAGGGACACGAATAGGATAACCTAGGGATGTACCTGGCGGGATGTCCACTGGACAACCACTGCGGGACATCCCCTGGATGCCCCAATATCATGTCCTTGTACCGCGGGACAAAGAAGGGACATACCTAGGACATCCCTGTGTTGTTAGGGCAATCAAGCTAAATACAGGTGCTATATTGTTAACCAAAGGTGGTAGTAAATTAATTGGCATATCTACTTATCTAGATTGCCTTACCATTGGCACTGAATTCATTTAGAATACATTCATGTTTGATATCAATTTCGAAATATTCATACGACGATCGATTGACTTCTGTAGTTTTGGAGGTCAGCTTCAAATCAATTGGAAATCATATCCAACCTAAAAAGATTGGGATACTGATGTTATTTGTTTATTTGTTGTATGTATGTACCTACTTGGGCGGAGTGTCTTGAGCTTTCATGGATTCTTCCACCTCGTTCTTGAAACCAAATGGAAAATTCGAAATTAAACCAAAATATATTCCAACAGATGCTCATATAATGTGAGCACTTATATTACCTATATGGCGGTGAACTGGAAAACTGCCTAATCAAGTTTCCATTTTCTTCAATATGATGGTCCATGATTATTATCGATGATATCGAATAATAAGTAGGCATAGATAATGAAATATCATCTTGCCATGGTATATGAGTATAGTATACATACCAACCTACATACCTCCCGATAGTACATAGCAACCTATAGCTGCGTAGCTATAGTTCAGTATTCCGGATGGTCACTCTGGATAGTCTAGTGTGTAGAATGCTTGTTCGTACAAAAAAATGTTCCTGATTATGATTTTCAAATACACCAAGCGATCACTCAAATTTCATTATTTCCATACAAACTCACCCATCCACCACATTTATTGAAATCTACTCGAAATAACTTTTTTTCCTATAACATGACATATGGGAATGAAACTACAAACAAAACTCATTTGGTGAAGCTTTATGAGATGGATAAGATGAAAAAATATCGTTTAGCTCCAAAATTAACCGATGCCCACATCAATCCTTCGAACTTTCAAAAAATGAACGCACGCCTGGCAGCTCAGGTATTCAGTAATTCTGTGGTTGTAGCCATGCGTACATATATCAGCTTCGGCCAACTTCCTTTGTCATCTTCAGGTACAGCTACATTCATGGAGAAAATAGATCAACTCTTCGATATGTTCAATTCAAGTTCTTTCAGAGATTGTAAACCGTTCAATAGGACATTTATGAGAACTGAATCTCAAATTTCTTTCTTGAAAGGAATGGCGAATTCATTTGAGAATCTCAAACTCACAAATTCTAAAGCAAAAGATGTTGCTAATTCTATCAAATTCATTTTTGGATGGAGATTGGCAATTACAGCTTTCTTAGAGATATAGAAGGATCTCAAACCTAGAAAGATACATTATGTTTTCACTCGAAACCTCAGTCAGGATTGTCTTGAAAACTATTTCGGAACGGTCAGGAATGCTTCTGGAAATGCAAAAAACCCCACTCCTATTCAGTTTTCGAGAGCATTCAAGAAGTTATTTGGTCTTCAGTACCTACAAAGCACGGAAGATTCAAACTGTTTGGAAGATTTTGATGAAATATTGTCCACAATTTCAACAGTACCTTTGAAAAATTATGAAATTCTTTAAAACACTAAAAAGTCGTACTCTCCTTTGAAAGTAGACACGAATGATTATTTAGACTTGACCACCGCCGAAGGCAATTGTCTTACATATGTGGCTGGGTACCTGATAAGAAAATGCTTGAAAAAAAAAATTCATGTGAAATATGCATTGATTATGGGTCTTCTAAAAGTACACTAGATCAAAGTAATATATATTCTCAATTCAAAGCATATGGAAATAAGAATAGAGATATGTTTGGTAACTTGAAAATGCCTCCTGATGAATTTATGAATTATCTTGTTTCTCTGGAAACTGAATTCGTGTCAAATTTTGATGAGTGTATTGGTAAAAAGGTCGGACATAGACTGAAAAAAAAATGTTCATCCATAAGCTTCTCACACCCATGTGAAGATTTTCCAAAAGATTATTCACTCTTATTGTTCATACGTGTTAGGATATATTATACTATAAAATTTGCAAACAGGGAATTTAAACCAATTCCGACTAACAAAATGGAGCTAAAATTGGTTATTCTCAAAAATATGTAGGATTTGTACTTTTATTCAGTTTTTATTGTTTTATTCCATCTATAACATCATATATGTTCTTTTTCATTAGTCATAATGAAGTTTTCATAGAACTGTGGAGTTTCATTCACCTCATAATAAATTCATAAATCATGTTCGTTAAAAGACCATAGCAACTGTTCGCACTTTTCAATATTTTTTCATGACTGTTTTCTCGTGGGAAATCCTCGTATGTTTGTGGACTAAGATTGCGCCTCGTATATTACGCTTCAGTTGACGTTCGGCCACAGAACAACAAGTTCTGTCGACGCGCAGTCGATGCGCACTGGAAAAAAAATCAAACGTCTGCCACGAAGATCAAAAGTCTCGACGCCAACTGACCCTACTGCCTCTGTAAGCTCTCTACTGTGCCCTAGTAGACTACTGAAATCATTGAGGGTCACGTTTGTGAATTGATCAAGAATAATCATAAATGCTGGTGTGACCAAGTGAATAGTATCATGATCTTGCTCATATATAGATACCCAAATCAGACAAAAAAATCACACCAATGAGATGTGTTCACAGATATCGGTACCTAATAAATGATAGTCAGACGAAATAGATGATCGATTCGCTATATCGTCGTACAGACATTATCAAAGATTTCATTGGCTTCAGATCCCAACTTCTTGAGGCTCAATACTCAGAAGTGGATCGGAATTGACTGATAGTTTCCAAACAAGTAGAAGGAACAAATTCAATCAAACCTTCGAAATCATTAATCGGCATCTTACCTATAGTTCTGCAAAACAATCAATCCGATATCAGAATGATCTGCGGAAACAGTACCTATTCAATCTGCAGAACTCAGAGGAGTTGGCTTATTCAAAGACATTCATTAATTCTTCAAAAAATCAGATTAAAACATTTATTCGATTATTATAGTTCTGACCAACATCGCCTAACGATTTTTCGTACACGTCTTTATCATTTCTATCATCATTAGGGGAACTCGAACTCCTGGCTTCTTGGAGACTTAGGAGTAGAAGAAGGTGAAACGATCAAAAAATTATAATATTCTTGTCATCGAATCTGAAAAATCACTGACATTATTGAATAATCAAATTCGTTTTAAAAGCTGGGAATACTTCATTTTATCGTGCTGCAATAAGACATAGTGATCCCATTCAAGTGAAACTCAACCTTACCAATAGAGAACGCAATTTTGCGCGTTGTGCATGAATATCACGCGTTTTTGAACTCGTTAGATGAATAATTATTATTATTTCATGACTGCTGGAGGGAGGATTGTCACTGCCTCCTATGGCGTCCTACAAAGGAATGTTGAGGATGATTCCCTATATTTGTTATTTCATTTTGTCGAGAGCGACTCACACATTGACAACTGTTATCTGAATGATATAAAGTATTGTTTTATTTCAGTGCCTGCGAAGCTTGTCTGGGGTGTACCAGGAAAAAACGCAGAACTACCGTGTGATATCACACCAGCACTACCTGGTGACAACGTGACCATGATATTCTGGTTCAAAGACAACCTAGGAATGCCACTGTACAGGTAGGTTGTGAAAGAAACCGAGTCCTCTTTCTGAATGACTTTCATAAGTGGTTTCCTTGTGTTCCGTTTGGAATTTGTAGGGTGATTCGATGATACTCGCTGGAGAATCAATTTTCTCCATTTTTACAATGATTGTATAAGAATCAGGTTCAAACTAAAAAACATCAGGTCCTATTTGTTCTCCTGATGTACCATCGACCTGTATGTAGAATATTGTAAATTAATCAAACTAGTTGCATCAGTGTTTATCATAATAGTCGTATCCACATGCTTATATGCCAATAACATCAGTTCTCATCGATTATTGCGTTCAATTTCTTCGACATCATCAGAAGTTTCTTGCTACCGGTCATAAATAATCATAGACTAAGCTCTCTTTTCGTTTTTTCAATAGAGAACATACCTTGTTTATTTTAAACTCACTATATGAGAAAATTGACATACAAAATTATTTCAGAATACTGTATCGTTGGAGTCTGCTATGAAGTGTTCAAATCACTGGAAATATCATCAGGGCTTTGAGAACCTCAATGCATGAGTCCCCCATGCACAAGTTGTTATGACAAATATTACAGAAATACTGTGAATTGATCGTTTTCTATAATTGTCAATTACCATCCATAGCCCTTAAGGAGGATTCACATACCTTCGAAGGAAATGGCAAAAATAGTTGATAAAAACTGATGATGGTGACTCGATATAATTATATAAATTAATGAACCATGAACTACATGCTATGATGATAGCAAAAAATGATTTGATGTGTAGGTTCTGATAATATATCATGTTCCGATAGACCATATCTATCTGAGAAAGACGAATATAGTCGAATATTGATATTTTATATAATCAAATTTTTGAAGCACAATGAATGCATTATATCAGGAAATGTTGGGATGGTTCATTGAATCTTCAGAAATGTAGAGGTTTGATAAAATTGGCGATAAATTACCCTATATATTCTGAACCTTACAGGAGTAGTGAAAACAATCATAATCAATATGAACATTTCATCATTTGAAACTGTTTTTGAATTGAAGACCTAGGAAAATGGTATAAAAAAATGCCTCCTGCTTGTTGAATAATATCTGGTAGTCATTTCCATCATTATCTCTCATATTTGTTTGGTGCTGAATCAGAATATCAATTTATTCGATTCAATTTCTTGATGTGTATTGAGAGTCTCACAATTGAAGCTGAAGTATCTGTGATAGGAAGAAGCAATCTTTCATTCTTGAAGTATTCTAGATTTATCATCATTTGAAGGCGCAGTTATGCACGTCCAATACAGTCAGTGAGAAAGCACTTGATAATTTGTGACATTTTCCAAATACAGAATCAAGAATTCTGGAAAACATACTCTAGACTGGGATCCAATGATCGTCAGACGTATACGGTATGTTAACAAAATTCATATTGATGATAGGTATACTATTTCACCTGCTGTAGGTGAAATGTGGACACAGTCTCGATTCACCTCCATACCATTCTCAATCACTCAATCACTATTTCTTTCAGTGCAAATGGTCTGTACCAATTGTTTTCCAGAATTCTCAACTTCCAGCTCTATTGCAAACATTTGAGATAGGTAGATGAATTTGTTGAATCCAAGATGCAATACCAGTAAGACGAACTAGACAAGCCCAGTCAGCACATCCTTTCGTTGTCAACCTCGAAAGATGTCGAACAGCACTTTATTAAAACTAGTCCATCCATAGAACGGCTAGGCTCTGGAATTCATTGCCTAAGGAAGTATTCTCAACAACATACTATCTCCAGAAGTTGAAAAAAAATTTCCAATGCCTACCTCTTGTTCCTATCCTCCCTAGGAACGCACGATGTTCTTTGAACATTATAGGGATCTCCCTTCGTGCGCTTCAAGCGATACAAAAAAAAAAAGAAGAAACCATCACACAGGCAGCCCACTGAATTTCATTGAGAATTCAGTAGGTATTGTCTGTGATGGGTTTTGAAACTAGTGATAAATTTTTATCGAATCAGGAACGTTTCATTCATCATGCATAATTGAGTTTTTTTTATCGCTTGGAGTGCATAAGTACAAATTGAAAGGTGAACACGTGATCCAACCGTCCACTTAAAATGCAGAAGCATTCAATTGAGAGTCACCCAGTGGCTACATAAGGTCATACCTTCGTCACAGAGCGTTTAAATGAACCTAGCGTCGTTTGCACAGTGACAACCCGTTTAATCCCGTCTTTCCCGGGAAGGGTACCTACAATTCGACCGAGTTGACAACGCACTGGGAAAAGAAAATTATATTTTTGAAGCACTCAAGATCCAATTCCAATCACTGCAGCAGGTTTGGTCCACTTGCCTCTCTGGATGAGGTGTGGAGGTTCTCCTTGTTCCAGCGAGACCAGAAGTCTTGTTGTAATCGTTGGACCAATAGCCAACCAGAAAGTCTATTCAATTCCAAAGTGGACAAATCATCATCTGGAGAAGAATTTAGAGGTTGTTGAGTCTGATAGTTATCCGGACTGAGAGATAAAATGTCATTTGCATCAATGCTGACAAGGCAGATGGTTTAGGGATTTAGAACTACATCCACCTGAAATAATAGGATATTCAATTCCTCATATTTGAGTTCCTGTTCTCTAATGACTGCATAATCCACCAAAATGTGGACTAATCAGAGGGATGGATCGCCATTTTATATATTCTTGTCCAGCAGCATTTTGCGTTGAGAGGTTTGCCTGAGGAATAGCAAAATATCCTATGTTCGGAAGTCAGTACTTTCGAGGCATGCGGTATGATTTCATCGATACTACGCCACTGGCAATAATAATTTTGAGTGGGGTGCCAAACCCTCAGGCCTGAGAGGCTAGATAGCCGAAGGCGAGATCCATTTTCGTCATCTCAAGACAATTCTGGATCGATTGATGGGTTGGTGTGAGAACTTCTGAGAATCTTACATTCTGATCCAGAATTTTTCCAGGCAAACAAACATGTATGTAGTGCTTAATTCAAGAATTTCGAACCGGAACCCTTTTCGATGAAACCAGACGTATCTGGAGAGTGACAAGTATGCGAATATTCTGCTCTCCACATATATACCATTCAACAATAGCATATCTTATTTTAATACACCTTATATTCTAGAAGTCACAATTTATCTAATAGATTTATTCATGGTGGAATTATAGTATGGTGTGCTACGACGCATCTTCGTATACGTCACTGCGAGTAAAACAATTACTCACAGTCTGAGCTCTCAGTTATCAGTTCGCCCGAGTCGCCGTAATCATTTTGGTGCGAGTATAGACTCGCAATGACGTTATGCGCAGAAAAGACGAATTCAAGCTACCTGAGTAGCACACCATATAATATTTTCACCATGGATTTATTGACACATGGTTTTAGTTGAGAGAGGTAATGTTACTTTGATTTATTTCACGACTATCTCACATACAAAGCTACTGTGTAAGCAAAACATGTTGTGTTCACCAGAATTATGTAGATATCGTATAGTTTATGATGAATTGTTTTCAATAAATATTGCAAAGGTCCTCTTTAAGTTTCCAGGTGCAATTTCAGCGCTCCTAAATGAAAACACATCAACCTAGCAATCCATTTTGTATATTTTTAATTCAGACGGAGTGTGAGGATGTTTATTATAAACACTTCCGCTCGTGGCTCTATTATTACGATCTGGCGCGTGTGAGACCCACAACTTATTTTAGAAATGCGAAACGGCATGCATTGTCTTTTTATTCACGCCTTCTGCTGCTATGAGTCACTTGGTAGTATTTTCAGCGTGCTAATAAGAAATAAGGACCCATTCGGAGGGAAGAGAACATTCGTTCGTAGAAAGTATGCTCTTGACAACTGATAGCGGAGCTGTTGAAAATGAGTAGGTATGAAATGAATATAACCCAATCATCTTTCTTTTCCCTCCTCTTTGTAAGTTTTCTGATGATATACAGTGACTGATGGCGGATAGTAGGTACGTTTTTTGATGATTGATTTCTGAAGAATTCAAACTCTCTTTTGATGTATAACATAGAATCCTTCTACAAACTCCTCACATGATTATGTTGAACAACAACCTCCTTCCGTTGGCACAATTCAAACATTTATCATGGTCGACCATCTCGTATCATAAACGTATCATTGAATTCTTTTATATAATCAACTCAACAATAATAATAATATAAAGATGTCATGATATATGCAATAATAAGAACAAATGCTACATTTTGGGAAATAAAAATACAATATAATTTTTTCAACTGACCACACTGGTTTTCACTATATCTCCTTGGTTTCTCTGGTCTCCTTTCTCCAATTGGTCAGAACACTACTGAGCAATCTCTAAGACTAATTCGACATAGCGAGCTTCAGGCACTAAGCACTTTTGGAAACGATGACATAACTGTCAAACAATTGAAATATTTTTTGACATGGTATTTGGTTGTTATCTTGATTGCCCTCTTTGACCTTCAGTTCTCAATGTAGCTATAACAGTAAATTACACACCGAGGTGGGGAGTGATTCATTCCTGTAGTGAGATTAGTTAGTTAACCGAGACGCAAAGCGTCGAGGTTAACTATAATCTCGAGACAGGAATGAAACTCCCTACCGAGGTTTGTATACTATTTCATTTACAACCATCATATTTCGATCAAAATTAATGAATCTATGTTTCGTTCTGAACATACCAGAATTATTACATGAGTGAGGCGGGAAGTGAGGGTAAGAAGTAGTGAGGGGCGGGAAGTGAGGGCTGGAAGTAGAGGTGTGTAATGTGACACTTCCCAACCTTCAATGACGTTAGTGATGACAACATTACATATATGGTTGTAAATAAATTATTATAAGTGATAGCGAAGATAGAGACTGAACTCACCAATATCTATAATACTACGTGTGCGGTGCGTAATGCGCTGGGACCTGAACTCAGAATGCTGCGCAACACATTCATTACAAGACTGTGATTTTCCGAAGATGCATATAACATGGAAGCGATCAAGAAATCGTCT